AAAAAAAAAAAAAAGATGTATCCTAAGGCCCATAAGTACACTGCTCAATGAAAGAAAAAAAAAAAAGGGACAGTTTTGAAAATGGTGGAATTTCTGCATATTAAAATATATAATTGTGAAAATAAAAATCTCAGTTGAAGTTTAAAGATTAGTTTGGAAAAAGTAAAAGCAAAAAGGTTTAAAAGATAGAAGATTTATACAGACTGTGGTAGAGTTGTGCAGACAGAAAATATGAAAAAGATAATGAGACTTAATGGATAGACTATGAAAAGCTAGAATATGTCTTGAGTATAGGGCCAGAAGAGGAAATCAAAGAACAGAGGAGAGGCAGTACTTAGAGAGACAGCAACTGCAAAATTAATATATAAAAGAGACACACATGTAGATTAATGACCACAAAACAGGAAACACAAAGTAAGAATGAAGGCAGTTAGCCACAAGAAAAAAAAAAAAGATTACCCTCCAAAGAAATGCCAGAATCACAGTAGAAATGTCAACAAAACTGGAAGTCAGAAGAGTAAATTATCAAAAAAAATTATCAGAAGATGATTAAAACTTCAGTGTAACAAAAAAGCATGGTATTTAATTCCAAAACCACTTCTAAGGAAATTCTCAAGAATAATAGAAGGGTGGCTTAAAAGGAGAAGGAATAATTGACAGAAATAATTAACATTTCTTTTTTTTTTTTTTTTTAAAGATTTTATTTTATTTGTGCATACAGAACTGGGATACAGGCCAGAGATGTGGAGGGTGAGAGAATTCACCAGAGACAGAGTGGAGTGCAGAACAGGCAGATCAACGAAATACACTGCTGAGGGGAGCAGCGGGCGGGCCAGGAGAGGTCCGCCACGCCATGTGGTCACCTCCGGGGCAGGCGGGAATCGAACTCATGAGGAAGCGGCTTTAGATTCTCAGTGCTGTGCTTTAACCCGCTGCGCCACCAGGGAGGGCCAACATTTCTCTTTTAATTCTAACATTTAGAATTTCTTCAAAAGAAATATCCTATCAAAGTCAGTCCTTCAGAAAGCGTTAACCAAAGAATCTAAAAACTGAGTACAATAAAAATTTCATTTCTAAATTACTACCTTCTTAAAAAAAAAAAAAAAGGACTCTCTATAGGCATTTTATAGTAGCTTTCCAAGAGAAAATAAATTACTTCCTTTTTTTGCTGCAATTATACAATCTAGTCATCTATTGCTGAATTTACTCCCAGTTGGATAGTAATTGTTAAATGTCTACTTTGCTCATCAAAGCAACATAATCCTAGATGGCAGGGTTCTGTTTTTAATAAATATCTGCAACCAGGAACAAATAATTATGTTCATGGAAATGAAAAATTCGGGGCAGGGAATGGGACAAGGAAGAGTTAAAACTCTAAGTGACTTCAGCTAAAATTTAAGGAAAAATGAAAACTGAGAAGAAACATTGCTGGAATTCATCTACTCACCTGCTCCAAATCAAGAGGGAGCCATTTATTACTTCCCTCTTCTGCCACTGATACATGATATTTACTTTTGTTTTCAATCAAATAAAAAGGAGTAAATGTCACAATTCTAGTAATGTTAAAACTGCTGAGGTCTATAGTGACACCAACCTAAGAGGGGGAAAAAATAAACATTTCAACTGTTAAATTATCATAACATCCTAAAAAAAATAAGTCAGGTACCGCTTAAATAAAACTTTACTGATGAGCACAGAATGAACTCACTTGATAATCCATTTTTGAGCCTTTACACTTAACAGCGCCATGACTGCCAACAGTATCAATGGAAAATTGATCTGACAATTCACTATCAGTTACCATAAGTTGAACCTAGAAAAAAATATTTTAAATGTATCACAATTTAGGTACCTTTAGAGTTTCTATATAAATTGACCTTGTTTTTTAGCATAAACTAATGTTGAGACTAAGCCTTTCCCAAATACTAGTATTTTATCCTTTAACAGTAAATAAATGTTTCTTCCTATTTCATAACATTTTATTCTTCAAAGCTAAAAATTAAAAAGAAAAATTTTCAAAAGCTTTACAAACCTTATTGTTATTAAAGAAATGCTTTGGCTGAAAAGAAAAAAGAACTGGTTTTTTATAATTAGGTGGATGCTTTCGATGAATTCCATCTGCTTTGTATTGTAACATTCGACCAGTTTTATTGACCATCCAATAAGGACTATGAAATGCCACAACTGTCTGCCCAATATTGTAAGTCACAAGGATAGCGATATCTAACTCAGTCTTTTCTATTTCTGTAACACAGGTAAAATTGATGAAACTGATGTCTTGTTGATTAGGTTTTATATGATATTCACTTTTCCAATCATGATTAAGATAGTCAAGCAATTTTAAATGTAGTTTGGCTTTATCCACCTGCACAGCACAAATATGGGCTGAATGTCCTTCATCTAAAGTACAAACATTGTGTTCAACTCCCTGTAACAAAAAAAAAAAAAATTTTAAATGTATCAGAGTAATATGTCAAGTCTATCTTGATGATTCCAAGTGTGATACAAAATGTTTATGAAATACCTGTGAAGACAACCTAGAAAATCTAAATTAAAAATTTTAATTGTGTGAAATTCTGTAAAACTATTATATTTTTAAACAATACAAATTATGTACTTCAAAGGGTTATAGAGAGAATAAAATAATACAATGTGAAGTTATGTTGGAAATAATACACATTATAAAACACTGTAACTGGCAAAACACAAAAATGTTACCTACTAGGAATTTGGAAAAATGACTGATTAATAAAAAATGGGAAAATGGTTGATAATACAAAATTAGCAAGCCCTCTTTATTGACTTGTAACAACTTTCATCCTCTATTTCCAATCACTGTTGACACTATTTTCTTAGGTAATTCTCAAAACTGCTCATTTCTCTCTTTCTCTACATTTCAACTGACTCATTTCTTGTCACCTTGACCCCTGATTGAGGAGTATTCTAACTACTCTTGTTCCCTCTAGTTCTTTTCTTCAAGCTGCTGCTAAACTGTTATTCTAAAATTTGATCATGATCATGGAAACTAACAGACATAATGTGATCCATACCAGCATCAAATTAAAAGTTCTTTAAGAGGGCCCTCCCTGGTGGCGCAGCAGGTTAAAGCACAGCACTAAGAAGCTAAAGCCACTTCCACATGAGTTTGATCTCCTCCTGCCCCAGAGGTGACCACATGGCACGGCAGACCTCTCCTGACCCGCCCACTGCTCCCCTCAGCAGTGTATTTCATGGATCTGCCTGTTCTGCTCTCAGCTCTGTCTCTGATGAATCCTCTCACCCTCCACATCTCTGGCCTGTACCCCAGTTCTTTATGAATAAATAAATAAATCTTAAAAAAATTCTGTAAGAACGGAATGTGGAGAAAAAGTACATGTGGATATCTGCTTTTCCAGCATCTCTAACTTGGTTTTTCCCTTTCTTTATAACATAGTATCTCTTTAAGATTTTAAATTAATTAAAACAATGAAAACTTTTGATATCTGCATATTAGTTATCATTCCACAGAGCAGAGCAGTGGTGTTGCAAAATAAATTGCAAACTTGTGACTGTCAGGCTTACTATGCTAAGTTCTTTAATACATTAGCTAATTTGGTTTTTTTCCCTTATCCTAATCATGAAAGTTTTATTACTATCTTCACTTTATAGATGTTGACAAGTGATCTGGAAAAATAATGTACCTTTCCTAACATGTAATGTTAGAAGTAGGAATCAAATTCAAATATATCCTGATAGCAAAAGTACACATTCTTAAACATATCCACCAACCATATGGAAAAAGAGTCTGAAAACACATACGCTAACTCTACCCCCCAAAAATAACATTAGGAAAATATAAACATATAGTAAATCTAATAATTAATTGACTACAAAATACTAATGATTAGTAGACCACAATGAAGAACTACTTTCTTCAATCTGATAGGCATGATAAACACTTAAAATTTTAAGATGGAAAGATTATTGATATAGCATAGAAAGGCATCAGAAAATTATCAAAACAGAACATATAAAACAGAAATCATATTTACATGGCATAATCTTAGGGAAAATTATCATCAGAAACATTGATTACATTTAACTCTAGTATATCAATAGTTTAAATACTAGTTCTCGTATTTGTTTCTCGTATTTAATAATAGTTCTCGTGAGTATCCATCTTTAATATTTATATGTCAATACATGAAAAAGACTGAAAATACATATTCTAAAACTGAAGTACTATCTTCAAATGATATGATTATACATGATTTTTTACTCATTCTATTTTCCAAATTTTCTAAGAGGATTATGTATTATATTAATAATTACTTTTTAAATGGCCTACCACATTTGTGCATGTAATTTATATTAACAGCCAGATTTAAGGTACATCCATCCTCTTTTTATACAATATAGTTGAGATGTTTCTTTTCCACTTGAGTAACTGTACTATTCACCAGCATATATTTTTTATTAGTACTATGACCCACTTTTTCATTGTTCATAATCTTAACAGCTAAGTTCATAAAATCAAAGACAGGAAGGCATTTTAAAAATTCCATAATACCTCTATATAGTAAGCAATTTTGTAAGGAAGAAGATTTCGGAGTAGGATAGGTGGCCACAAATGCACTATGTATGGTAAGTCCCAACCATCCTCTGAATATGTTGACAGAGAGGTCAAATTATCTTTTTCTGGGACAACATTTATAACAAATGGTTTCTTGGCAGGGTTTATCGGTCTACATTTCTTCTTTATAGAAGTGTCATCATTTTTAATAATATCTTCAAAGTCAATTCCTTCACACTTCTGATAGTCCTCGCCTTCTGGCCTAATAGAAAGGAGTGACCTGCATAAAAATGTGAATAAACAAAACACAATTTCAGATGTTTCAAAACATATTTTAAGTTGTATAACTGCAGCTTTAGAATAATGAAATTACCTCCCTTCACACTACTACAATAAATTAACATTGTTCTTCGAGATAGTTAAAACAATTTCATTGTGATTTTCTGCCAATTGAGTACCTAATTATTTGACTTTTAATAGAGCATTTTTCTTTCCAACTTAGTATTCCCACTTTTACACAAATATATTATCATATAGGCAATAAATACAAAACAACATATACAACTATCTTACATCTTGTACACTTTACTGAAAGAAGTTCGATTTCCTGGATATGTGATCCTAAAGTTCGTATCACAAGTTCATGAGTTAAAAAAAAAAAAGTAATTATTGAAAAAAACTATTCACTAGCTTTTCAATTTTCAGCAATTAAAGACTTTCAATAAATAGTGAAATGTTGGACATTCTTATAGAAATGACTGGAGACAATATTGATAGTATCATTAGGTATATCATGATTCTTATATTCAAAAATTATTTCTTGTAATATTTCAACCTTGCTTTAGGTTTAATAGTTTCTTAAATATAAACTGTTGTAAAACTAATCACCTAAGACTGCAATACTATCCCTTAGAGAGGGACAACTGTCAAAACTATACTTTGTTCTGATTATTTTCCTAAGCTATTTAAATATCTAGTATTTGATTCTGTAATAGTAGCTGACAGCAATGTAAATTTGCTAGGCTGCAGTCTGAACCCTCCATACCCACCTCTATGTGTGTCCTCTTTTCACTTCCAGCTACATATTAACACTCACCATCAGATTTTGCTTACTCTACCACATTCTTACTGTAATTTTCATTCTTAATAATATGTAAAAGTAGTTTTCTCTCAATTAACACCAATCCACTCATTTAGATTATCAAAACATCCACTGCACCCATCATCAATAAATAAGAAGATAAAACTGGAAATGAGCAAGCCAATCTTTCTCTTAAAGATACAATGTTAAATAGAATTGCTGTACCATTATAGGTACCAAAAACATATATAGTCAAGCAGACTGAGGGCATAAAGTAGGTCAACTTTCTCTAAACTAGCTGCAGCATGTTTTACAGAAGTGATAATTTTCCCAAAAGCTATGTTCTAAAGAGAAGATTTGAAACATGCAAGATTAAAGCAAATTTTAAGAAAGGAATGAGGTGGAGAGAAATGATCAATGGCAAAAAGTTCTAAATGGAGAGCTGATGGTGTGAATAGTTTTGGAACAGGCAAGCAAATGTCCTGGAGTAAGTTAGAAACAGATGATATTAAAGATATAAAATGTACATAAATGGGGAAAGAAAAGGAGGGAGTACTTACCCTCATTACCCAATGAGAATTTCAACTATCTTTTACCAACTATTCTTTATAGACCTATAAAAAATCAAGGTCTTTCATGCCTTGTCTGTATGCAATTCTTTCCATTAGGTTTACCCTTTTCAGTAAATCTTTACATAACTACATTCAGCCTATTAAGTCATGTATCTCAACCAGGAGTCAATCATTAATCCATTCTTTGCTTTCCATAGTATTTTTGCAACCACATTCTTCTGTCTCTACAACCCATTGTTTTCTACCTTGTATATATTTACGTATTACTCTCTCAAGGGAAACACCCATGTCCAATTCATTGTGGTATTGTACAGTATACAAACACAACACTTGGTATTTGTTAAATGGATTAAATTTAAGAATCAATATATTTAAATTCTACAAAGATAACCATTTTAAAATGCAATCTTAAATACAGTATCAGCATCTAATTACTGGGTCAGAAAAGTGTCTTGTGTAAAATCCAAGCTGGTTAGTCACTAACAATTTTAATTAAAATTAACTTGTATGTAACACATTAATATCTAAACTTGAAAAAAGAGTATAAAGCTACTCCATGACTTTACCTTTTCTTTCCTCTGAACAGTCACAAAATAAATAACAATACTAAAAAAATTAAGCAGAATGGCATTATCTATTACTATTCAAAAAAAATTACTATTCAAGGACAAAATGAATTTAAAGTTTTCAGGGCAATTTTTAAACATATTTTACATGCTAATTTAATTCTATTCTCTAACCGACATACTGTATAGACTAAGGGCAGATACCAGAAACAACTACTTTGCTGCTGTTTTCCAACAATGTACTCCTTTCCCTTACAAAGTCGGAACTAAAGACTCAAAGGGCTTAGAAGCAATATAACACTTAAAAGGGGGAGCAGGTCTCTTACTCATAATTATATAATCAAAAGTGCTAGATATCTCTAGCTATTAGGGATCCAGACTTGAACTCTGAAGTATGGGCCAGAATAAACAGAGATGGAGAGTTAAGCAACGCTTTGCAGATTTGCTCTACACTTCTGTAGTATAGCCTCAGTGTGTGTACTTCAAAAAACTATGAAGCTTATTCTGAGCAAAGTTTTATTCTCCAAGGAGTTCAATATTCATAGAAGGAATTACTTTCTATACCAGATTAGATGTCCTCAGCAATATATGTTTGTTATGATAGTAACCTATGAGACTGGAACAGCAGTGATACTTGGTTATAATTTTAATAATATTTTCATAACACATGTAAGATTTTATATCTAGTTTTATTTCCTTAATGGCTTAGGATTAACTTACTATTTACTTCTGTTTATATCAAACAGAATATAGAAAAAATAATTTGCTTTCTAAAGGAAACTTTTGTAAAGTCATTTCATAACAGTGTACATAAATCTAGAAGTCACCAATTAGTTTAGATATTTGTTAAAATCATAACCATGATTGTAAATGCAATATTGCAAGCATGTATTTAGTTGACAGAAACGAATAATTTAAACTAAATGGTACATCTTAAAATAAACCTCCAAGTGCCTTGATGATATATTAACAGAACAAATTTGATCAGAGTTTGATCATGTAAAGACAGATATCCTTACTAAATAAAACACGAAACATTCTATAAGAAACATTAGATCAAGATTGATTAGATAAAGAAAAAATCACCGGTAAGATGTTAATGGTATGTTGAATTCACTTCCAGGTGAAGCTATTCCCAATAAAGTATCCCCTTCATAAATAGAGAGTGGGACTGAAAAATGATTTCTAATCTATGAGAAAAAAAATAAGTAATTATTAGTATCAACAATCCAGGAAGTTAAAGACATTTTTTAAAATACTGTGTCTAAATATTCCAACAAAAGAATTATCAGGTAATATTTATCTTTCTCACATAAATTTAAAAAGAAATAATCATTTACCTTAAAAATAAAAATAGGAGGCCCTCCCTGGTGGCGCAGAGGGTTAAAACACAGCACTGACGGCCCTCCCTGGTGGCGCAGCGGGTTAAAGCACAGCACTGAGAATCTAAAGCCGCTTCCGCATGAGTTCGATTCCCGCCTGCCCCGGAGG